GGCGGGTGAGACAGGTGGATTCACTGAGGACCACTAGAAGAACCATGGTTACAGGTAATTTATTTATTTATTTATTTATTGGATTTCTATCCCACCCATCTGGTAGGGACGTGGTGGTGCTGCGGGCTAAACTGCAGAAGCCTGTGCTGCAGCGTCAGAAGACCAAGCAGTCGTAAGATCGAATCCATGCAACGGAGTGAGCGCCCGTGGCTTGTCCCAGCTCCCGCCAACCTAGCGGTTCGAAAGCATGCAAATGCGAGTACAGTGGGGTCTTGACTTGAGAACTTAATCCGTATTGGAAGGCGGTTCTCAAGTCAAAAAGTCTGTAAGTCAAGTCTCCATTGACCTACAGTGCATTGAAAACCGATTAATCCCGTAACAGGCCGTTTTTGTTCCATTTTGGTTTTTTTCTGGTCTGTAAGTCAAATCTCAGTCTGCAAGTCAAACCTAAAGTCTGTAACTCAAAAAGTCTGTAAGTCAAGCCATCTGTAAGTCAAGGGTCCACTGTAGATAAATAGGAACCACCTCAGTGGGAAGGTAACAGCATTCCGTGTCTAAGTCGCACTGGCCATGTGACCACGGAAGATTGTCTTTGGACAAACACTGGCTCTATGGCTTGGAAACGGGGATGAGCACCGCCCCCTAGAGTTGAACACAACTGGACAAAAATTGTCAAGGGGAACCTTTACCTTTACCTATCCCACCCATCTAGACCAAAGTTTTCTTCTTTGTGGTCTCTATGAATGCACATGAATGGGTAACTAGCAAGCTGACTTACTGGATGGTGGGACATCACGTCAGCAATGAAGCAAGTACAGCTCTGACGAAGCTTGCCTTATTTTTGGCCTCGACATCAAGTTGGACCCCATCTACCTCTTCCCTCCCATTCCTCTCACTGAAAGATGCAAACACGGCACCATTGATCGCACCGATACAGGCTGTTGAGTAGAGTAATAACAGGTTGTTTTGCAAATTTTATCAAGGTTGTCCATCCCTTCATTAGTCTTGTCATTAAAGAGGCCTACTCTGTCAAAGGGAAGGTCCTCTATGCGGGTTCTTGCATCATCCGTGATCCCAGCTGACGGAAGCCAGGCATGTCGTCTAAGAACGATGGCTGATGCCGTAGACTTGGACGCTGCATTAGCGATGTGGCATGCAGCTATACATTGCTGTTTAGCCAGGGTGGAGGCCTCTAGATGTACATTGCTGTCCTCGAGGGCAGCCTAGAGAATTGGAAGGACCTTAATCCAATTGCCTATGATAGGCTCCTGTGGCCGCGTGGTAGTTGGAGACTCTCATAGCAAAAGAGGCGAGTGAGTAGAGACAACATCCAAGTACAACTAATTTCCTACCTTCCTTGTTAGTAGGGGTGACTGAAGAACGGGTTCCCGCTTGCAACTGACTAGATTGGACAATGATCGAATCAGGCAATGGGTGCTTTGCAAAGAAGGCAGTGCCACTTCCATGGGTTCTGTAGTGATTTTCTACCCATCTGGAGATCTGTAGCGAAGATGGCTTGTTCCACGACTCCTTTATGAGGCTGAGCATAACCGGGATGAAGGCAAGTCTCAACGGGG